CCTGGAGCCAGGGGAAGATGTCCACCAAGCTCTCCTTGGCCACGGTGTCCACTATGCCCTGGCTGTACTCCAGCATGGCCTCGAACTCGGGGTCCCCCCGGCGGTATGAGGAGTTGAAGCAGAGGGAGCAGACCACGTTGGTGACGGCCCGTGTGAGCTCGGGGGCCACGTCCAGGGGAGCGTCCTGGGCAGCGCTGAGGGTCTCGCACAGGGATGCAGCTTCCCGGCAGACTGGGGCGGGGGGGAGAGCCGGGCGAGGGGGTGATGGGGAAGCCAAGGAGGTGGGAGGGGGCAGCGAGGAGGGGTCCCCCCTCTCGTTCGGGGGGTGCAGCCTCCAGCCCCCCGCCACGGCTGAGCCCCAGGGATGATGCCGGGTGCTAGGGAGGGGCAGAAAGGGGGGAGAAGGGCAGGGGCTCTCTGTGTGGGGCTTGATGCTTCTCCTGCCTGGAGCAGGGAGCCCAGGGGGCCCTGAGCTGGCTCCGGGTCTTAGTTTGCCCAGCTGTGAGAAAAGGGAATCAAAGCTCAGTGTGGAAAAGGCATAGGGAAAGGTAAAGTACTGGGAATGATGAGAGTAGGACTGAACCCCTGCTGGGGTTCATCCTGGAGGGATGCTGAGGGGTCTGGTCTGAGCCAGAGAGGCTCCCCTTGGTTCCCAGGGCATCAGGGCATGGAAAAAGGGAAAGTCCAGTCCAGATCAAATGCGGGAGGCAGACAGTGCTGGGAGGGAGCCCGGGGGCCAGCAGGGGGCACTTACTGATCCTCTCAAGGGCGAGTGAGCCCTCCCCGAACATGGAGAGGGCGGCGTGCACCAGTTTGCGCTGGAACTTCCAGAGGGGCCCGTAGCTGGCGAAAGCGATGTCCTTGCCCCCCCGGGACAGCAGGTCTGTTGTCACCTGTGGGACAGGCAGGGTCACCCTGCTGCATGGCAGCCCCGCGGACGATTCTGTGGGGGAGGGGAAGGGTGGATGATCATCTCCTCCCAGGGCTGGTCGGGTGGCTGCTGGTTGGTGGGCAAAGCCGAGGCAATGAGCTTTGCTTCCCCTTCCTTAGGTTTGGGGACAGATGCCGGGGTTAGGGGCTGGAGAGCCCGGGAAACTTAAGAGGCTGCAGGGAGTCTGGTGGTACCTGAGCCCATGTCCCCAGGCTGTGGGGAAGAACAGTCACCCTTGGGATAGGGGATGCTCAGGATTTACCCTGGGGAACAGGGCAGAGCGGGGCTGCTCCCCTCCATCGCCTCGTTCGGGCAGAACGGGGAGAGAAGACAGACGCTGCTGGGTGCTGGCACCTTTCTTGGGAGCATCCCCCGCGTTGCCCCACGCCACAGCAGGAGGGGGGTCCCCCCCAAAACCTCCCCCCCGCCTCGTTCGGGCAGAACGGGGAGAGAAGACAGACGCTGCTGGGTGCTGGCACCTTTCTTGGGAGCATCCCCCGCGTTGCCCCACGCCACAGCAGGAGGGGGGTCCCCCCCAAAACCTCCCCCCCACTCACGGTGCGGGGCCGTCCGGCAAAAGCCTTCCCTTTCTTCAGCAGCACCTCCCGGGCGTGCCGGTAGCTGTTCACCACCACCACGTAGTGGGAGCCCATCCAGAGTCCGTAGAGGCTGCCGTACCTGCCCTGCA